AGAGGAACCCTAAGAGCTTTCGCTATTGAAGTAGCAGCTGGGGCGCAGCGTTGGAGAAATCCAAGTGTCGCCTTTCCACTCGGCATACTTGGAGATAAATCGAAGTTTTCAGCCGTTGGGTTTGGCTGAAGGGAGAAGCCCCTGCCTCTGTAAGCAATGAACGCGTGCCCTGGTGGCACGAACCCCTCCCTGCTCACCAGGCAGCCACCGCGGGCCAAACCTGGAGAGCGGGGTGCCATTAAGAATCACTTCCTCCCGCCCAGCGGGAGTCTTCCCGCCTACCCTGGGCCTCTCTCCTCCTCCTGATGAATAACTGTTTTTCCCTTTCCCCCAGTTAAATTTTCAAAGGGGTCTGCTTCTCATAACGGCAGTTCTACACTGGCCTCCGTAAACGTTGTCTGCCACGTGTAAACACACTCCTACACCCACTAGCTGCCAGTCCAACCCCTTGTCTCCACACATCACGGAGAGCCCCAGTCACAGGATTCTCTTCTTTCCCCTCCCTCACCTTCCAGCCGCAGCCCCAGCCCCAGCCCGGAGACTCACACCAGATCTCACTGTTGAATTAGAAAGTAAAGTAAAATGTGGTCTTTCCATACAATAGAATATTATTCAGCCATAAAAAGGAATGAAGTTCTGATCCATGCTACTACAAATGTGGATGAACATCAAAAACATTATGCACAGTAAAAGGAACCAGACACAAAAGTCCACATAGTGTATGATTCCATCCATATGAAATATCTACAACAGGCAAATCCATAGGGACTGACACAGATTGGTGGTTGTTGGGGCTTGGGGAGGAAGAATGAAAGAGCACTGCTTATGGGTTTGGAGTTTTTCACCCGGGTGATAAAAAAGCCTGAAACTAGAGGTGACACAGCACGATGGATCTATTTAATGCCATTGAATCATACACTTTAAAGTGACTTAAAGAGTAAATTTTATATTGTGTGCATTTTACCACAATAAAGGGGAAAAAACTAAAAGTAACACATCATTGCTGTGGTATTCCTGCAAAAGTGCAGCATCTCAAAATAATCATGAGAAAACACCAGACAAATCCCAATTGAGAAATATTCTTCAAAGTTATTAGCCAGTACTCAGCAAAAGTGTCAGGGCATGAAAGACAAAAGACTGAGGAGGAACTGTCACAAATTAGAGATTCTCCCAAAGAGGATACAACAACTAAATGGAACAAGGAATCTGTGATCTGCCATTTGAAACATGGAACAGAAGGGACAGTAGGGGGCAAGCTGGTAAAATTCACATAAGGTCTGCAATTCAGTTACCAACATTGTGCCATTAATTTTCAAGTTTTGATTCTTGTACTATGGTTATATAAGACTAACATTAGGGGAAGCTGAATGTAGGGTATGGGGGACTACCCTAGTATTTTTACAATTTGTCTTTAAGTCTAAAGTTATTTCAAAATAAAAAAGTTTTTTAAAGTTAAAAATAAAAATAAACCTTTATTGAGTATCAGCTATGTGCAAGCATTCTCATGTATCTAAGGCTCAGAAAACCAAATATGTTGTAATTGCCAGAAACTACAAGACACTTTCACTTGTGACCTATTTGGTCATTATCACAACCCTCTGAGGTAGATAGTACCATCCCTCATTTAGAGATGTGAAATCTGGGATTGAAGAGACACATGCCCAAAGACCCACAAAGGGCAAGTGATGGGTTCAGATGTAAAACCAGATCTCAGACTTCTGAGGTCATGATGCTTTGAATGCCTTAGCATCACCCTCTGTGAGCAGTGGCCCAGCATGGACCCTACCTGTGTCCATTAACCCAGCCGGATAGGAGGCCCTTGGAGACAAGGATTACAACTTCCATTTCCCCCAATTTAATGCAACACTGCATTCCCAGGTCCTAGTTTCCTTAAATGACCTGAAAGGTCACCTTCTGCACTTTTCCTCCCCTCCCCAAATCATTGTGGTGACTTGTACATTTGTAAATTAATTAGTCATGTTGGGCTTTTAGACACAGGTAATGAGCATACCCTCCTTCCTACTTCTCTCTTGCATGTGCATCTAGAAGCAGTTCTGCTGCATTCTCTGCTGTTGAAACCCATAAGCTGCCAGAGCCTCCCCAGTCTCCAGGTTAGGTTATGAGTCATTCCAAAAACACTCAGGGACTGGGGAGTTGGTGCTTGGCACTGTGTGTCAGACCCTGGAGATACAATGATACGCCATCCATATCTTTAAGGGGACTGGGAAAGGGGTTGGATTAAGAAGATGGGACCAATTAGGATTGGTGACAGGCTGGATGTGAAGGAAAGTTCTACAAAGGAGGACAACCACATTCTCATAATGCTAAGACCAGGAGGGAAGTCACTGGAGGGTTCTGGGTCCTTCTCGTTGACCTCCTGAAAGTATAAAGTTGCTTGATACTCAGAAGATATGGGACAGATGCAACAGCTTTCTCCTTACACTCAATCCAGGTTGCTGCCAAATCTGCAGGGTTTTCTCTCCATCTGTGATGTGTGCAGAATTCCCACCTGGACATGGTGTGAACCAGGATGTGTTCATACAAACTCTACAGAGGCTTGCAGAAAGCCTGGCCTGCCCTAGTATCTCAACCTTGCCCCACCTCACAGGCAAGTTCACTTTATCAATGAGTACCTTGGCTCCAAGCTAAAAGAGGTCAGACCAAGTGACAACCATGACTGTCTTTGGGATCAGTATCATATTAATTGAGCTCTAGCCATTCCCATCACACCAGTGGGTCCCTGAGGTCTTGGCAATGCCCACAGTATTTGTGGTTGTCAAGTGGGCAACAATCTTGGAGAACTACCCATTGGAAAATGGGAGTCCCTGCTGTTACCAGATCATGTGTCCAAATCTGCAGTTACAAGCTTTGAATCATTTTTCCTTTCAGATGATGAGGGTCACTTTGTAGGAATGTACCCATATTTTTTCTACCATTGACTTCCTTCCTGGTGGTTGTCACAAGTCTCAGGCAGCTGCTTTCACGTTGACAGAGGATTAACCATGTCTATCGATTTTGAATCCTGCTGTACCATTTATGGTACATGGCACCATAAATATTCATTGAACAAACGCATATGGGAATTTAAAAAGATAAGATTGGCCATATGTGGTCACTCACGCCTGTAATCCCAACACTTTGAGAGGCAGAGGCCCAGGGGTTTGAGACCAGTCTAGACAACCTGGCAAGACCTCATCTCTACAATAAATCAAAAAATTAGCCAGGCATGGAGGCATGCACCTGTAGTTTCAGCTACTTGGAAGACTGAGGCAGAAGGATTGCCTGAATCCAGCAGGTCAAGGCTGTGTTGGCCGTGATCTTGCCACTGCACTCTAGCTTGGGTGACCGAGTGAAACTCCAACTCAAAAAAAATAAAAATAGGATATATGTGAAGTAGCTAAGCTCTCGATTGCTTTTAATAAGCAGTATAAGTAACATTTTATATAATGTTTATGAGTTTACAGCTCTTTTCTCCCTACACTTATACTAGAAGCCCTGGTTTGAACTTCAACCTAAAATACGTGCTGGGCGTATACACGACTTCATGGGAGCAGGGAGGCCAAGCCTCCTGGGGCGATCACATTTTGAAGTAAAAAGGAGCCAGGGGGTGGTCCTAGCAAGCTAAGCTTAGTTGAGAGAGAGGATGGGAGATTTGGAGTAAAGTGTGATATGTGTCACTCAGATTTGTTACCTGGTCCTGGAATGTTTGCTGTTCCTATCCCATCCTGTGGGTAATGGCAAGGAATGAGAAAAACTGTGCAGGAGCTGTATAGGAAGTTGAATAGTGCTCCCTCAAAATTCACTGGGAACTTCAAAACGTGACCTTATTTGGAAATAGGGTCTTTGCACATGTAAGTAGTTAAGATGAAGTCATACCAGATTAGAGTGGCCCTAAATCTGATGACTGGCATCCTTATAAGAAGAAGAGAGCACTGGGCATGGTGGATCACACCTGTAATCCCAGCACTTTGGAAGGCGGAGGCAAGATGATTGCTTGAACCCAGGGGTTTGAGAACAGCCTGGGCAACTCGGCAAGACCTCATCTCTACAATATATCAGAAAAAAATTAGTCAGGCATGGTGGCATATACCTGTAATTCCAGCTACTTGGAAGGCTGAGGTGGAAGCATTGCCTGAACCCAGCAGGTTGAGGCTGCGGT